GGATAGAATCAAGGTCAGGTGAAGTGTTAATATCACTTTACAATATCTTAGTGAGACCACACTTGGAATACTGCATCCAGTTTTGGTCGCCACCCTGTAAAAAAGATGTTGAGACTCTAGAAAGAGTGCAGAAAAGCGCAAGAAAGGTGATTTTGGCAGACAGTGCTGCTGGACATCGGAGAGGGTGAAATCTAGGCAAATTTTGTCCAGCAAGGTGCTGCAGGAGGCGGTTCAGGCTGAAAACGGGGCAGAGCAGGCCGTGTGCATCCTGTCTCCCTATCCTGCTCCTACCCCGTGCTGGCCCATGGAGGAGAACTACATTGCTGATCTGGCTCTCGAAGAAATCCAGTTTGACACCCCTGGGCTAGAGAATTCTGGGAGTTGAAGTCCACAGAACTTAAAGTGGCCAAGTTGGAAAAAACACTGGAATACATTACGTTTCACGGGTAGACAAACATTACCTTATCTCTAGGGTAGGCTAGGAAGACTGAAAGCCACTTGTCTGGAATAGCATAGGGTTTCCTGCCTAAGCAGGGGGTTGGACTAGAAGACCTCCAAGGTCCCTGCCATCTGTATTCTGATTGATATTGATAAACTAGGTAAGGAGACGCCATCGTAGTTACAACCACTTTTCCTGGAGATACCAAAACTCGCTCAGTCAAATCAAATCTTTATCACAACCACAGACCAGCGTAACGAAACCCAGTGTCCATCAGTTAAGGAAGGGATTCATCCAGATAGATTATAGATTAACAGAGTTGGAAGGGACCTTCTAGGCAGGGGTGGGATTCAAAAATCCCAGCAACCAGTTCACTGCCCAGTTGCTGAGTGGGCGTGGCCATGGTGGGCATGGCCATGGTGGGTGTGGCCTCCCATAACGTCCAGTTTCCAGCTTCTGGTGGGCCTCCAGAGCCTAAGGGAGGCTGTTTTTGCCCTCCCAAAGGTCTGGAGGCTTCCCCCGGGTCTATGGGAGGGTAAAAACAGCCTCCCCTGGGCTCTGGAGGCCCACCAGAAGCCTGAAACAGGCCCATTTCCGGACTTCCAGAAGGCCCATTTTCCCCCTTCCCAGAGCCTTTGGGTGGACCTTGCACTTACCTCCATCAAAAATGCGTGGAGAATCCTGGGAGGGGAAGGGAAGGGTGGGAGGAACCAGCTGGTCAGTTGAAATATCGGTTCGGCAAACCAGATGTAACTTTAACACCCAGTTCACCTAAACTGGTCCAAACTGGTAGAATTCCACCAGAATTCCATCTAGTCCAACCCCTCACCCAAGCAGGAGTCCCTACACCATTTCTGGCAGACAGCAGTACAATATCTTCTTGAAAGCCTTCAGGGATGAAGTCTCCACAACTTCTGAAGGCAACTTCTGTTCCAGGGGTGGATTGTTCTGACTGTCAGAAAATTTCTCCTTATTTTCAGGTTGAATCTCTCCTTGTTCAGTTTCCATCCATTATGCCTTTGTCTGGTCTTTGAGTGCTTTTGCAAATAGCTTGACCCCTTCATTACAGTTACAAATCATAAGGTCACAAAGCTGATCATTACCGGACCGGATCTGACTTTGTGACTTATTTTGCGATGGTGTTCAGCGAGCACATAAGTTGCCAAATGTATGCACTGGTCATTACGTGAATGCAGAGGTTGTTAGCCAAACCCATTGTTCGCGACGGGGAGTTTTTGCCAAAAACTGGAAGTAAGTGATAGTTTTCAGGAAAAACATTGTAAATCACAGTCGACATGCCTGCAGGATGTTGCAAAGGTGAACCAGTTGCCAAGCACTCAAAATGCAATCATTTGATGGTGGCTGTGGGTTAGGTAGTCAGAACTTCAGAACCAAATCCATAGTAACTTCGAACAATCTCTCAACAACCTATTGCTTTGTTGTTAGTTGCAAAGTCATGTCCAAGTCTGACCCATTGCGACCCCATGGACAACATTCCTGCAGGCCTTCCTTTCCTCTCCCATCTTCTGGAGTCCATTTAAGCTTATGCCAACTGCTCCAGTGACTCCATCCAGCTACCTCCTTCTCTGTCATCCCCTTCTTCCTTTGCCTTCAACTGCTCCGAGCATTAGGACTCTTCTCCAGGTAGTCCTTCCTTCCTTCTCATTAGGTGGCCAAAGTATTTGTGTTTCATCTTCAGGATCTGGCCTTCTAAAGAGCAGTCGGGGTTGATCTCCTCTAGGACTGACCAATTGGATGGCTTTGCAGTCCAAGGGACTCGCAGGAGTCTTCTCCAGCACCAGAGTTCAAAGGCCTCCATTCTTTGGAGCTCAGCCTTCCTTATGGTCCAACTTTCACAGCCATGCATTGCAACTGGGAAAACCATAGCCTTGACTGTACACAGTTTTGTTGGCAGTATGCTGCTGTCTAGATTTGCCATAGCTATGCTTCAGTACAGGCAGTCCTCGAACTTACAACATTTCTCCTAGTCACCTTTTGAAGATAGAATGGTGCTGAAAAAAAGTGACTTATGGCCATTTTTCACCATTGCAGCATCCCTATTAGTCATAGGATTTAGGTTCAGATGCTTGACAACTGACTCACATTTATGACAGTTGCAATATCCCTGGGGTCAGAGGATCCCCTTTTGCGACCTCCTGACGAGCCAAGTCAATGGGGAAACCAGATTCCTTTAATGACCGTGTGACTAATTTAACAATCACAGTGAGTCGCTTATCAAACGTGGCAAGAAAAGTCATAAAATGGGGCAAACTCACTTAATAACTCTCACTTAGCAACATCAATGTCAGACTCAATTGTGGTCATAAGTTGAGGAGTACCTGCACAGGCAGAGATCTCAGAACTGGGGCTCAGAGCATCGGATGAAAGCTCTTGTTTAAAACTAAACGTTTTGGGGTACACGTCACTGTTCCAGTGAGTACCACGAGAACTGCATATAAACCACTTGGCAACTCTGAAAAGACCGGCATGTTAACTCCTAATAAATCCTTTTTAAGTTTTGGAAGTTTGGCTCAAGACTCATGATTTAAATGTGGGGGTAACTGCCGGAATCCTGACACTACTCTGACTTTCAGGTTTGAAGAAACATTATATGAATTTAATCTTGGCTGATTGGAAAAATGCCTTTAATAAGCAGATTCTAATACCTTCCATCTTACCTTTTCAAGGAGAAAATAGATAACCTTTTAAGTGCAGCATAAGATCAAAAATGTGGGCTGGAAATAAGGAAAATGGACTTGTGTCTAGTGCATTTTCAGAAAATCGGGATCCATAACCTGCAAGTTAACAACTGTTTTTTTTTTTAAACAATATCATGCCGTTAATAAGCAGATTCTAACACTTTCTGAGGGACCCGGTGGCTCAGTGGCTAAGACTCTGAGCTTGTCGATCCGAAAGGTCGGCAGTTCAGCGGTTCGAATCCCTAGCGCTGTGTAATGGAGTGAGTTCCCATGCCTTGTCCCAGCTTCTGCCAACTAGCAGTTCGAAAGCGTGTAAAAATGCAAGTAGAAAAATAGGGACCACTTTGGTGGGAAGCGTTTCGTGAGCCTTCAGCATTTAGTCATGCTGGCCATATGACCATGGAGATGTATGTGAACAGCGCTGGCTCTTTGGCTTTGTAACGGAGATGAGCACTGCCCCCTAGATCCGGAAACGACTAGCATGTATGTGAGAGGGGAACTTTTGCCTTACCCTTAATACTTTCTGACTTACCTTTTCAAGGAGAAAATAGAGAACATCTTAAGTGCAGTGTAAGATCAAAATTGTTGGCTGGAAATAAGGAAAATGAACTTGTATCTTGTGTGTTTTGAGAAAGATCAGGATTCATAACCTGAAAAGTCAACAACTGTTTGTTTGTTTTTAATAATATCAAGCTGATACACAAATGTTGCTTGAAAATACTCTCAAATCTTTATCATGCAAAATGTCTGTAGGAGGTTTGGAGAGATCTTTCAGTTCAGCCTTGATATTTCTCTGCAGCTATTCACACTTTCCCTCATACATTATTTTAATGAAGCCAACTGTCTTTGCAAGAGAAACATATAGATGATGGTAAAGGATTTCTATGTCATGTTACATTCATCTCCATTGGAAACACATTCATAATTGACCTTGAATTTAATCCTTTTGGTTACCATTCCTTTATTGTCAATTGAGAAAACTTGACATAAATGCAAGCAACAGATCTGTGCAATATGTAAATATTGCAGCCGTTGTGTCAAAAAGAAACCAAGCAATATTTTCCAAAGCTTAAAATATGACATCCAAATATCTGGCTTGTTATTTTGCAATGTGAGAAGTTTCATTTTGCCACATACTTTCAAGAAATTCTTTTAATCTTTAAGGAATCTTCCCCAGACTATTTTCCCCTTCCTTCTTCTTCTTTGTTGACTCCTAGCTGGTTTAATTTCTGGGTTTAGAGGGAATAAGTGTTTTTTTTTTTTCTAAATATCTTTCAGCATCTCCAGGGGATGTCCAACTTTGGCAGCTTTAAGACTTGTGGACTTCAATGAATATGTGTCAGAATGGTTGAACAATTGGAAACTTCCAATCTCAACCAGCAAATATTCTGTCTTACACACTGGCAACAAAAATCAGAAGACTAAATACAAACTGCGCGAATATGACCTCATAGATGACCCTCACTCTGTCAAAGACCTAGGAGTACTCATTTGAAAAGATCTAAGCCCCAGAGCTCACTGCAACAACATAGCCAAAAAGGCATTAAGAGTTATTAATCAAATTTTGTGAAGCTTCTTCTCAAGAAACATTGAACTGCAAACCAGGGCATACAAAACCTTCGCCAGACCAATTCTTGAATACAGCTCATCTGCCTGAAATCCACACTGTATAACCAGGGGTGGGGTTCAAAATTTTTAACAACCGGTTCTGTGGGCATGGTTTGGTGGTCATGTGACTGGGTGGACATGGCTTGGTGGTCATGTTATTGGCTGGGTGTGGCCAACTCAATATCACTCACATCGAGGCACGCATCTCTTCGCCTGGCCTCTCATGACTGTGGGGATGCTGCAACAGTCATAAGTGGGAAAAATGGTCACTTTTTTCAGTGTCATTGTAACTTTGAATGGTCACTCCAGCCAAGTAAAGTACCAGCAAAGGAGGGGAAAATAACTCCAGAGAAGTTCCTGAGACAGGAAGTCTAGTCCTGCCAAGAATGTAAAAAGGGTTAACGGAGAGGCAGTTTCTATAAGCAACACCAGAATGTTTCCTTCCTGCCTTCCTTACAGGATTAGGCCAGTAATTTCTTCTAATAACCGGTTCTCTGAACTACTTAGAATGTTAACGACCGGTTCTAGAGAATAGGTGCAAACCAGTAGAATCCCACCCCTGTGTATAACGGACGTTGATACAATTGAGTGAGTCCAGAGGTATTTCACAAGAAGAGTACTCCGCTCCTCTGCTCGCAATAGAATACCTTATGCTACCAGGCTTGAAATTTTGGACCTGGACAACCTTGACGGTGGGAACAATCAACCAATGGAACAGAAGTTGCTCTTGGAAGTTGTGGGAGCACCATCAGTTGAGACTTTCAGGTAGAGATTGGACTGCCATTTGTCAGAAATGGTGTAGGGTCTCCTGCTTGGGTGGGGGGTTGGACTAGATGACCTACAAGGTCCCTTCCAACTCTGATTATCTGTATCTGTATCTGTAGAACTACCCCACCCACAGTCTGATCTAAGCTTAGTACACAAAATTGTCTGCTATAACGTCCTACATGTCAATGACTACTTCAGCTTCAACCACAACAACAACATGGGCAAACAATAGATACAAACTCAAAGTAAACTGCTCCAAACTCAATTGCAGAAAGTAAGACTTCAGCAACAGAGTGGTCAACGCCTGGAACTCACTACCTGACTGTCGTTACATCCTCAAACACCTCCCCCCCCCAAAAAAAAAACCTTTAGCCTTAAACTGTCTACCATGGACCTCACTCCATTCCTAAGAGGCCTGTAAGGGGGCGTGCATAAGTGCACCAGCGTGCCTACCATCCCTGTCCTACTGTTCCCATTTATCAATTTATTTGTACTCATTTAACAGATAACAGATAGATAACAGATAATCAGAGTTGGAATGGACCTTGTAGGTCATCTAGTCCAACCCCTTGCCCAAGCAGGAGACCCTACACCATTTCTCACAGATGGCAGCCCAGTCTCTTCTTGAAAGCTTCCAGTGATGAAGCTCCCACAATTTCCAAAGGCATCTTCTGTTCCATGGGTTGATTGTTCTGAGTGTCAGAAACTTTCTCCTTATTTCCAGGTTGAATCTCTCTTTGGTCAGTTTCCATCCATTATTCCTTGTCTGGCCTTCAGGTGCTTTAGAAAATAGCTTGACCCCTTCCTCTCTGTGGCAGCCCTTCATTTATTATGCCTATACTTATATCTGTTTATACTTATGTGTTTATATGTTATGTTCATACTTATATTTGTTTTCTCATACAAACTTGATAAAACAAACAAACAAATAATAAATAAATTCCCCAGACAGGTTGGCTGGGGAATTCTGGGAGTCGAGGTCCACATGTTTTAAAGTCACCAAGGTTGGTCACCCCTGGTTAGAGCTGTAGCTGGGACTTGTCCAGCAATATCTGAGGACACTCGATCACCTCCACCGTTCTAGAGTCCAGGTGCCAGTCTAAATTACATTTTACAGTAAAATCTTTTTCTAGCTCCTCTCTCTTTCATAACATTGTAGACCTGGAATGGAACTTCTAGGTCAACCCCTCTGCCCAAGGGAGGAGATCTCATTCTTCCAGCATGAATGGTTGCCCTTTCTTGAAAAACTCCAGGGATGGGCCATCGACAACTCCAGGAGTTCCATTGATTAATCATTCTCATTGTCAGGAAATTCCTCCTTATTTCCAGTTGGATCTTCCTCTCGGGACCTTCCACCCATTGCTTCTTCTCCTGCCCTCAGGCGCTTTTGAAAATAAATGGACATTTTCTTCCCTGTGACGATTAGAAGCTGTTGTTATGCTTACCTTTCATCCTTCTCTAAACATATCTAGTTCTCTATAGCGGTTCGTTATTTTATACCCTTCTTTTTAGCCATGTCACGTACAGAGAATATTAGAATGTCGTTTTCTTTTTTTTAACTTTTTTTTTCTTTACTTTTTCTTAGTTTAAAATACAAATGAAAATAAAGACCATGGGGAAAAAGGGAAAGGAAAGGGGGGAAGAGGATTAGAGTTAAGGAAAAGGAGAGAAACAAAAAAGCAGTGACTTCCATCTTTTTTCAGTGCGGTAAGTTACATAACAGGATATTCTCAACTTGTTCCTTATTAGTAAGCATTAGCCACTTCTATAGCGGCCCATTTAATCACCAGAACACAGAATTAGAATTCCATTTTTATCTCTTTAAAGCAGAGTATCCAGAAGTGGTTTCCAGGTGGAAACAAAGCTAGTTACATTCTTTTCTTTAATTTTGCAATCTCTGCCAATTCTATTCCCTTTTCCATCAATTTTTCCATGTTGGGTACCAAACGCTTCTTTCCATTATTGAGCATGTAAAATTCTCGCTGCAATATAATAACTAGGTCCCATTTCCCCCCCAGTTCTTTATACAATAGTTCTAGGCTGAAAAACAGCTTCTATCCCAGGGTATTAACTCTATTGAATTCTACTGTATAGTGCAGTATTAATGCAATATCAGGGGTTTTCAATTCAATGTATAAAATGTGAAGTATGTGCGTTTGTGTTTATTTTCATAGTCATAATGTACATTGAAGATGGTATTTAATTTCATTGTATGAGGTGCAATGAGAATAAAGTACACCCAAAACTAAATGGAAATAAAATATTAGAATGACAAATTTTTGAAGAACAAGATAAGACAACATCAAAGATACACTACAAAAGATCAGACAACAATAGTTAGGGCTGCCACCGAGGTGATATTCAGCCGGTTCTGACCAGTCCTGGAGAACCAGTAGAGGAAATTTTGAGTAGTTCGGAGAACCGGAAAATCCCACCTCTGACTGCCCATCTGTTCTCCGCCTCCTGAGTCTCAGCTGATTGGCTGGGTCTTCCTTGGTTGCCCTGCACAGGAGAACGGAACTGGAAAGCAGGTTAGTGGGGCAGGGAGGGAATGGGATTTTGCAGCATCCTTCCCCTTTCACACCCACCAAGCCATGCCATGCCCACCAAGCCACGGCCACAGAACCAGTAGTGAAAAATTTTGAATCCCACCACTGGCTGCAAGAAGGAGAAAGGAGGAGGAGGTGGGGAGGGAGAAAGGGAAAGGGAAGGAAAACAGAAACAGGAGGGAAGGTAGAAGGGGGAGAGGGAAGGGAAGTAGAAGGAGAAGGAGGATTGGAATAAATAAATACCCAGCAATGCTGGCTTATTGGCTAGTAAATAATATTCAGCCCAACATTGCAAGAAACTGAAGGAGAAGTAATCGCAATATGAAGCAGGATGACCCTGAATCTTTTTTTTATCAATCCAAACTTATATATCCTCATTTCATTATTAAAAAAAAAATCATTTGACTATACTTTTATTCATTCATACCCTGAATATTTATATCTAGATATGGGAACAGCTGGGGTACCAGGCAGAAGGTGTTGTGTGGGTCACATTGCTCTTTTCTTAATCAGGATTCTTAAGTTGTACCGCAAGGTAATTGGCAGACTTAAGCAACTCGCAGCTGCCGTGGTGCTCTGGGGAACTGTCCTACAGATATGGCATATAGATCAAACCCCCCTCCCAAAAAGCAACCCTGGTCCAGAGCAGGATTTGCCAAAACGACCGGAGATAGCCGCTGTCAAAATGGCAGTCCTAAGCGGTTCGTGGCTGCTGCAGCTGTAAAAACAAACCTCGGAGTCAGACCAAAGGAACGGTCAATGACTCTGGCCCCAACCCAGGCTTATCTCAGAGTACTCTAGGTCCACCAAAAACCAATTTAAAAAAACTGGTCAATTAATCAAAAAGGAAAAATTAAAAAAAAAATAAAAGGTGAGAAAATAAAAAGGCACAAAAAACTAAGAAGTGGCTGAACCGACAGCTGTCAAACCTTTCCAAAACTCCCAACACGCTAGGAAAATCCAAGGAGTAGTATAATTCTTCTAAAACTCAAATGATTCAGAGCCCTTTTAGGGGTGTCTGAATGAGCGGAGACTGAGTTGAAGAACTGGGGACAGTTACCAGGGAGGCGTGCCCTCAGAATTCAACCCGGCCTGTAGAGCAACGAGGCTAGAGACAACCCAACCTGGATTCTCCCATCGATTCAATGGAGAAACACCACTTTGTTGGTCTGTTGTTTCTCCGTGCTTTATCCGGATGTCGAATAACGTTGACCAAGAGAGGGTTTATTTGCTGAGTCTAGTAGTCCATGGAAAGCCCTATTATATTACAGGCCATCAATGAACTACCCAGAGAAGGATTCCTATTTGTTTTATTGTTCTTTTGATAAGGCTGTAAAACCCCAGAACTTCTGCATTGACGTTTCCTCAATTGATGAGACCATATATAAAGGCGAGTCCTCTGATAAAGGAAACAAACTTTACGCAGCCTTGATTGCTGTGCTCAGGGGTTTGATAAAAGGAGTCGAATGAAACACGGAACCGTGTTGCGGGCAAAGAGAAAGGGCGTAAACCAGAAAAAAGGCACGCATTGGTCTCTCTGCCTGCCATAACTTAGACCTTTAATAGCATCCATTTATCTACTACTGGCAGTTTCCTTAAAGTTTCCCCCAGATATACAGCCACTGGTTGGCTTTAAAAATCACCCTGACAGATCCTTTAAAAATGAACAGGAGATGCCATAAGCAGCCGAGCATCTAAAAGGAAAGCGCTGTTTGTTTGTTTTTTAAGAGCTGTTTTTAAGGAAAACTGAAAGTTTCTGTTTAGGGCTACATCGCAGAGTACAACTGCGCAAAGCAGGCTTGGCTTTCACTCAAGGGATGTAGTTTTCCACATTGTGGGGAAGAGACAAATTGTGCTCCTTATTTATTTTACTTTACCTTGAACTTCTCTTCCCTTCCCTTCCCTTCCCTTCCCTTCTTCCATTCCGTTCCATTCCATTCCATTCCAT